ACCCTCCTTTCCCTTAGACCTATATAATTTTGGGGTTTTGATTTCTACATAGATGAAAACCGTGATTTTTTAATTTCTACATAGATACCATATAATTTTGGGATGAGCTAAAAAGCTCGCTTCCTATTTAATGAAATAGTAAGTTGGAGCCACTGAAAATAACCTTTGAAATACACAGAGACAGAGATACTGGCAATGCCCCCAGTACATTATTTATACCCGAGGGTTCAGAAATCAGTTTTCTTCTGTTAGATGGAAATTGCAAAAGACCTAACCTGAAGTTTTAGCTCTGCCACTTATATATAATGTAGTCTTAGAAAAAGACTAAACATGTGTGGGCTTCAATGAACTCATCTGCAAAATGAGAAGGCTGGAACTGACCACATTATGTTTTGGTCGATTAACAGCTCCTAACTCTGGTGCTGTATAAACATTTTGTTTGCAAAATCAAGCCTCAAGACAGTAGAGATTTGTACAGAATTCTTTGTGGAATTCCTTAAACAATATGAGCGTGCTCCTTTGCTAATTTTGCAGCAGCTGCTCCTAGAATTGTAGCTACTACTACCAACAATAGCTGTCCTAGCTACCAGTTATCACGTTCCTACCATGTGCTAGTCATGGTGTCAGGTACTTATGTAGTTATTATTACTGATGTATAAATAACGATTGCAATTTTATAGATGGAGAAACTGAGATTCAGAACAGTTGGAGTAACTTGACCCAAGGTCATGGAGCCAGTAAGTAAATCTCAGAGGTGGGGTTTGAATCCAGGTTTTCTGAAACCAAAAGCTGTTTATTTTCCTACCCTTTATGAATGACAGGTAGTTCTGCATTATTGTGTGATTTGGAGTGTTTCAGGTGTTTGCCATCACTTTAAATACCATCCATACACTGACATCTCTCAGTTATACCTCCAGCCCAACCCTTTTCTGAACTCCAGACTTGTATTTCCATTTAACTTCTCAACTCCTCCACTGAATGTTTAATAGACCCCTCAAAAAAAAAATATGTTCAAATCCACACTTTTGATTTTAACCAGCATATCCCTCCACCTAATGTTGTCCCAAGCTCAAGTAACTACATTTTTCTTTCTTGACCAGACTAAACACTTGGAGTCTTCCTTAGCTCTGCTCATTCCCTCACACCCCATGTCCAACTGCTCAGCATATCCCGTTCAGCTCTTCTGAAAAACACATCTGAATTTGATGACATCTGCTACCCTCATTGTTTCCACCAAAGGCCAAGCCACCGGCGTCCCCTGCCTTCATAATGGCAGTAAGCCCCCAATCTATCTTCTTGCTTCCATTCTTTCCCCCCAGGCAGCCTGTTCTCCACGCAGCAGCCAGAGTGATCTTTCTCAAATTTGAGTCAGGTGATGACACTCTTCTGCTGAAAACCCTCCAGTCATCTCTCCCCATCTCATGCAGCATAAATTTGGTGTCTTCACCACAGCCTACAGCTTCAGCTCCGACCTTCACTGTCACTGACCTCATCCTCTCCTACTCTCTGCCTTTCCCACTCTCCTCCAGGCACTCTGGGCTCGTGGCTGATTCTAGAGCACACCAGGTACACTTCGACTTTTATCCTTTGCCTTCATATTTGCTATTCCCTTTTCCCCTCAGATTTCCATGTCTCACTCCCTCACTTCCTTTGGCTCTCTATTCAAATGCTATTTTTTTCAGAGAGGACTTCCCTGATCATATGATTTAAAACAGGACCTTGCCACTCTTCTCTTTTTACACTGCTTTAGTTTTCTTAATAGCACTTATCACTAGCTGATTTATTTTTATTATCTCTCTCCTCTCAAACACACACATACACATGAATGTAACCACATGCAAGCAGGGACTAGGTGTGGCTCTATGTTGCATCCCAGTGTCTAGAAGAACATCTGCCACACAGTAGGTACTTAGTAAATATTTGCAAATGAACAAATGAATGAGTAACAAATGCAAAGTAAAGGAAAGTGTGCTTATTAAAGTAAAATAATAAAAACTGACATGAAACACATTGAAAATTCTGATAGGGAATTTTAGGAATATGGATTATTTTTTACTTGTTTACTATCTAGAAAATATAACCATATTTTATTTAACTATTGAAACAAGGTAATGGGCACATCAACAGCATTTTCAGTTTTCCAAATATACCCTGACAAAAATATAGTAAGCTAAGATTTTTCTGCCAAAATCAAGAAACAAAGCTAATTTGATATGCAACAGCTCCTAATGAAGATAACAACTCTTTAAGAAATAAGTCAGGATTTTCGGTGGAAATAGAGATACCAATCTAGGTTTAAAATACGAATTTCTTGATTGTGACTGGCCATATTCTGGATTATAAACTAATGATAATAAATACACAACAACCTCTTAACTGTGCCCAAGACCCACCATTACCAACCCCAAGCATTGTTATCTTATAGCAAAAGACACTTGAAGTCAGAAAACCAGGATTTGAGCTTAGGATTTGCGTTGTGAGGAATAAGACAAAATCACTGGGAAAATCACCTGCAAACTGTACAGTATTATTTACATCAAAGTTTACTAGGATCTCTAGGCAAATGTGCCTTATCACCAAAAGACTGAAGAATGTGTCTATCAGTCTACCTGCCTTTTCTCATATCTCTACTCCAAGGTGAGATATCTGAAATATAGTATTTTAATTCAGGCAATCAGAGATTTTTAAGAATCTACTTTTTCTACGTTGGAAGAAATCTGTAACTATATGCCATTTGTAAGGTTCTGGGAGAGTCAACCGTTCAGTTTGGCAAATCTTAGATTTACCTGGCTGCCTTCACATTTCAACTTGCACCACTGCAGGCCTCCTAACAACTTTGCCCCTTGGAGGTTTTCTTTTTTACTGGGAAGCAAGTGCAAACCTTCAAATTAAATTGTATCTTGATTCCTGAATAGCCCCCACCATAAACTCGGTCCTCAATGCCCAGAGGCTCTGATCAGAACTTCTAAAACTGCTCTCATCCTCTACCACTGGAAGTCTCTTTTCCCAAACGGCATTAAGTTAGGGCTCCTGGGTCTCCTAATATAGAATTTTTTGGAGTGGAGATTATAGATTTTCAAAAAAAATACTATCTCTCCACAAAAGTTTTAAAACAACAAAAACAACAAAAAATCCTGCCTTTTCCTTTAACATTGGGCATTCTTAATTTTATTTCATCATTCAGTTTCAAGAAAAACAGATTTTTCTGACCTCTTCAAACCTTCCATTTTGTCACGTTTTGCATCTAATTATTTAACCTCTTGACTCATTTGTCACTTATTTATTCAATATGTACTCTCTCAGTATTTACTATGAACAGAGCATTGGGCTAAGTCTGAATTTTCCACATAATTTCATGTATAAATTGTGATTATATAGGGATGTACAATTATTTTCAAATATAATAAATAATTTATGGAAAGATTTATTCAGTGCCCAGATTATAAATACTCAAACATAATAATGGACCATAATTTATAGTTCAAGAGACTCAAATCTGAATCTCAATTTCATTATTCATTCCTAAAGCTAACTCAAAGCATTTTTTCTCCCTGTACAACTGGGTTCTCTTACTTGAAAAACAGAAGTAAGGAATCATTATTGCTTAAAAAAAACTCACAAGAAATTATTAAATGTTAAAACATGAAATTAACGTATGAAATTAAAATATGTTGATGTCTATGCAAAACTGGGGGCGGGGGTGGAAAAGGAATGACCTAGAGGTTAAAAGGAAACTTAATTCCAGAATGCCACGCTTCTAAAGACATCATTTGCCACAATGCCAGGCAAGTCTGGGGACATGCTTTACAGCCCCTCCACCCAGAAATTAGATGACTTCCCTGTACCAAGCTTATCCCATCTCTTGAATTCCTTATCTTTTCTAATTCCCTACCATATCTAATTCAACTATTTTCTGGGCCTGCTAGAGGAAGTTAAGTTTTTACTTTGTAAGCCTTAAAGCCAAGCCCTGGGCTGACCATGTTGTAAATTGCAGGCAATGACTCTTTCTAATTAGGAAACAAAATTTAAAGTTGTCCTACCTGAGACTTTGCTTAACTTTCAGTTTCCCCTTCCTTACCTCTAGGTCCTGATATATATCAGTTCCTCATCCCAAGGCTTCTGTGCGCTTCCTGTAAATGCCTCTGCGTAGCACAGCCAGTCTTGCAAACCTTTGCTTCCTTGGTTGTTGCAGGGCTGGCTGTCAGCCAGATCACTGTCCCTGGCCTGGAATAAAACTTCTCATTCACAACTACTCTATTTACCTTCAGGAGTAAATCAAATCACCATCTCCCACCAAGGCGTCATCAATCCCATCTCTAGGAAGTAGACACTTCATGAGGAGAATGAAGCATGAAATGAGGATGTGTATGTATAAATAGAAATTAAACCTTTGGAAAGAGATAATTGTAGCAGGACCTGAGACTTGAATAAAACATAGGAACAAGTGACCCAAAAAAGTGACATTTGAAAGGCTAATGTGTATTCCATCACAATTATAAACATTTATAACTCAAAGCTTTCAAATGCTAAAATGAAAAGCAGAAAGTAGTAAAATTCAGATGAAAAAGATATAAAATTGTATAATTCAGATTATGCATATATTTTCCAAATGTAAAGTAGTGAAGAAAATTAACTCACAGAATTTACCCATTATATAGATAACCTTGTAAAATTTGAAGACTTATAAAAGGAGAGCCTGGTAATACTGTCAAAATTAATGAAGACGTCTTGGATGTAGTAGGTAATTCAGAGGGAGAAGAGGAGGAAAGAAGAAAGAAAGAAGTAGTAAGTCAGGGAAAGAAGAAATACTTGGAAGATGGGGCAAAGTGTTTCACTTACCTATGATCCCATTTTGCAATAATGCGAACTGTTGAGCAAGAGGGAAAAAGAAAGAAAGAGCACATAACATTGCCAACCACGCATATTTCTGAAAAATTCCCAACTCAATAAGTCAGTCAAAGAGCAAAATCATATTAAATGACTATTTGAAAAAAGGATATGAATGTACCAAAATCTTAATAGCTAATTTTCTAATAGGGTTGAAGGGAGTTAAAATGTACAGGGCAGGGGTGGCACTGAATCGAGAGATTGCTTTCCCTTTATTCAATACTATAAACGTCTGAAAAAGAAAACAAACACATAAAACAGAATTTAGAATCTTAGTATTAAAATTAAGAATATTTTAAGAAAAAAGTGAGACAACTTTTTAGAAATATTGTCTTATAAAATAATATAATAATATACTAATTACCAACATATGACATGATGCTGTGTACTTTCTCTTTCTGAGCCCTATAAACTTTCCTAAAATTCGTAAGTGATATGAGGATTTAAGAACATAAAGAAAATCTGCAGTCACTGCCATAGGAATACTTAGCATCCTTATCAAGTTTTAATATCAGTATTTTAAAACTGTAATTATAATCCACAAAGAGCTCAAAAATGAGGCTTTGATTCATTTTTCAGTTAGATAAAAATTTTCTCAGAGGAACTTCAGGGTTTTCCAGAGGTGTTGTTTGATCACACTCTTTTTTTGGGCACTTAAAAGCCACCTGCTTTTATTTCTTCTGGGGGGAGCCATGGAATGGGCAAAGTTTATGGTGTGAAGGAATAAACCTGCTGAAGATCAAAGTACCTTATGTAGAGCTAGATATTGTAAAGAGGAATTTGGATACTACTCCTGGAAATATTTTTAATGCATAAAAAAATATACTCCTTAACTTTCTGCTTCACCACACTGTAAGATAAACAGACTTTTGCCCTTCCTCATTTCCCCCACTGCAGGATGCCCCTTCAGTTCTCTGCCTGTCCTGGACATGGGTTCAAATGAGTGCTTCCAAAAGGCTTCTAGGGTAATGGGGCCATTACGTGGTCAAGCCTACCTAGTACCCTAATGATACTTCAGACAGAGGGGAGGAGGCATAACATTCTTCACCTGACATCCCTGGCCCTAGCCCAGAAGCAATTAGGAAGTAGGGGAAGTAAAGGCAACTTGACTAAGAACTCACTTTCTTATTGATATAGTAGGGGTCCAGGTCCTCCAGGGGCTCTGACACCATCTCTGGAGGAATGTCTCCATAAATAAATGGAAGGGATTTTCCTGCTTCCAAGTCACTATTTGGCTTTGGGCCATTTTCATCATCTTCATCCTTGCGTTCTTGTTTGGGTCTCTTAGCTTTCTCTTCTGCAATGCGTTGCTCAATAGCAGCAAGGGATTCCCTGGTAAAGAAGCGGAAGCTGTCAGGTCCTGGCGGTACCAGCACTGATTGTGCCATCTTTTCATCCTGCTCCTTTAATCACTGTTTAGCTCCTTGCATAAGAAAGTGCTATGGAAACGAGAGAGAGATAGAGAGAGAGAGAGAGAGAGAGAGAGAGAGACAGAGAGAGAGGGAGAGAGAGACAGAGAGAGAGACAGAGAGAGAGACAGAGAGAGGGAAAAAAAGCAACGGTCATTAGGATAAAATGTGACTGTGGCCAATTACATGATACTGAGATAAAATATATAAACCAAGCTATCTGTAATATTTTACTAAGGAAGCTGCACTTGGCACTCGGGGGATTCTCCTGCATGCATTCATCTGCTTGCATGGAGATCTATCTTTCACATTCAGTAGGTGTCTATGAGGTAATCTAATCTCCCACTCCCAAAATGTTTTAAGTGAAAATATCCAACTCAGAGCTCAGAAATGGAGAATACTGGTTTGTGCTTGCTGTTTCACTTGTGTGAATATTTTGGCAGCCATCTTTTTCAGCATCCCTTCTGAAAAAAATATCCGAGATCCATAACAAGAGATGAATAATTATCAAAAATTGCAGAACCTGGGCTGTGCAAAGATCTTGCATGTATCTCTCCATTTTTTTCCATGTTCCCTTTGGCCTACTTTTCCACCTCAAAGAGCTTATTCAAAATCAACGCACCTGGTAAAGAGCTCTGGAAATCCTGAAATGCCAGGCTGTGGAAACATAGGTAGATACTGCTTGAAAGCAAGGGAGCGGGAAGGAGCAGGGAATGCCGGATTGCATTTGGAACTGCTCGGAAGCTGCACAGGAAGGGACCCAGCTCCTGCCAAACCAGGCAGGAAGTCACCCACGTCAAGAGGTCTGGAGCCTGGACCCCCTGGTTTAGCAACCTGCTGCTAGCTAGTGTAATTGCTTCTTAGATTAACAAATTTGCAGTACCTTAGGAAATACTGTAGAGATAGCTCATTTTCTCAAACAGTGCCCATTTCTTAAGAATCCACGTAGCAGATTTGGACTTGAAAAAAATAGTAAGTTTAAGATAGTTTATCTTTTACATGAACTCCTATTATGCTGGTCTTTGTGATAACATAAATGGAGTTTTACTGTATTCTAATCATATTTTACTGGGCTAACATATATAGCTCAAGAGAGCACACCAATCATTTCAAACGTTATCTCTGAATCAGTGGCAAGAGTTTCTATGCTTTTTGAAATAATACAACCAAAATCTTGACTCCAGAATGCCATCTATATACAATCACTTATCTGTTTTTCCTTCTTTTAAAATATCAATCCATTTTAACCCTTACCCTACAGGAATGAGAATTACCATTTAATTACATGAGGTGCATTTTCTAAAAGTAAAATTCATTCACATCCAGATCATTTCTGTAGATATGCTAGATCCAACAGGGAAATCTAAAATAACATAAGTTACTGTACCATTTCCACATTTTTTTTTTTTGAAGTAGACCAGGACCTTTCAGCCACCAGCTAGAAGACTGCCCTCTCAGTATCACAGAGCCTCCAATACCTCCCTCATTTTCCTCACCCATCCCCAGAGACCCTTAGGCCTAGTGACAGGCATAGGCATGAAGAAGGTCCCTGCACATTTCAAGGAGGAACCTGCCATGCCTGGTTGCTCTAATAGAAGAGACATGCTAAAACATGCAGACAGCAGCTTCAAAATGAAAGTGGTCCTCTGCAGATTCCCCCAAGGATTCTACTGTAAAGGTAAAGAAGCATCACAGAGAATAAGCATAATAAGAATATTAAAACATTACCCCTGCAGAATCTTTTACACCCAGAGTTTAGGATTGATAAGCTGGCACCATGAAGACTGCAGCTAAAATTCCATCATGCTTTTTTTCTTTTTTTCATTTTTTTTTAATTCTCCTTCAAAGACCACACCTAACTTCCTGTGAAAGGATTCTGGTAACTGAAGTAAGAACAGGCATTTCCTGTGCGGGGACTACAAAATGGCATTATTATAACTACCACTAGAGGGCGGGGAACTGTGAAGAGAAACCCCTCAGTGTACACACAGAAGCATGTTTGAAGCAGCCCAAAGCTCTCAGTAATGGAGCTCTAATCTTCTACAAGCTTTTCTTAGAACAGAACATTAAGACTTAGCTGGTTTGAATTACTAATTTTGTTAACTGATAATGCTTCCATTCATGCTTTTTATTTGCTAAGCCAAATTGAATCGACACAAATAACTCAAAGTAAAAAGAAAGTAAATAAAGAAGGGTTAAAAATAAAAACTCATAAAACAGCAATTATATTAATGAAAGTCTTACATACATGAGCTTTAACATTAGCCTCAGCCCCAGAGTATCTGAAATCCAATCAAGGGCTTTGATAGTTCAACAAAGAGGTGGCCTTTGTGCTATCTAAGTTAACTTTCTCTAGAAATAAAACTAAACTAATGGGACACCAATATTATTTTATCTCTAATTTAAGCGGCTGAAAAGAAACCAGAAAAAAATGAAAGCCAGTGAGATACTAGATGCCAATACTTAGTTTAATAACATAGTTAAGATTTGCAGGCTAACTATGTGCCTGTCACTGACCAGGCTGAGTCTGTATGCACTATATCATTTAATCCTCCCTGTAACTCCATCAGATAAAGGCTTTCATGATCCTTATTTGAAAACTGAAGAAAGGAAGTACACTGAGGTTAGGAAAAGTTACCTAAGATCACACAGGCAGGATTCAAACTTAAAATCTGTGAGCTTTATTCAGCCATAAACAAAATAAAAACAAAAACAAAGAATGAAAACACCTCATGGAACTAAAATAAAGATTAAAATAAAGATTAAATAAAATAAAGTAAGTGGCATCAATTATAATCAGAAACAGTCATAATGATTAAGTCAATATATTTATTACATATTTTCTAGCTTCACCATTTTCATTAGAAAAGGTATTTGATTGAAACAAGCAAGAATAAGATATAGCCAAAAAGAATTTTTTAATTCATTCTAGCATGTCTGTTTTGGTTATAGAAGCAAAAGAATGACCCAAAGTGGCTTAGGTAAGAGAAAGAAAGAAAGGAAGAAAGGAAGAAAGAAAGAAAGAGAGAGAGAGAGAGAGAGAAAGAAAGAAAGGAAGGAAGGAAGGAAGGAAGGAAGGAGGGAAGGAAGGAAGGAAGAAAGGAAGGAAGGAAGAAAGGAAGAAAAGAAAGGAAGAAAGAAAGAAAGAAAAAGAAGAGGAAGGGAGGAAGGAAAAAAAAAAAGAAAGAAAGGAAAGCAACATGGGAATTCATCGTCAAGGTTTATTGTTTAGGGCTAGCTATAGGCATGCCCAATTGATGTTACCAGCACCTAATCATACTGCATCCTTTGGCTCTGACTTCTATGGTGATAGCTTTTCATTCCTCATTGTAGTAAGATGCTATAGCATCTCTGGCCTCCCAATCTCCCAGATTTAAATCCAATCGGAACAAAGACCCAGAAAAACTCTCAGCGCATCTCACTGGCTTCAGTTGGGTCACATGCTCATTCTGAAGTAATCAGGCTGTCCAGGGTGATGCAATGCTTTGTGCTTTGATTGGCTTCTCCTAAGCCAATGCCTCATCCTGGACTAGGGAGGAAATCCTACTTGAAACCTATGAACCGTCAGGGTTGTGGAATCACTCAGCAACAGGAACACACCAAGCTATGTGCATTTACATTAATTGTAGGGTTACCCTTTTCTCTCCCATTGATCCTAGCCAGTGAATGTGTCTTAGGATATTTAAAATGGTGAACACAAAATATTTTACCAAAACATCCAAGACATATGATGAACAACACCTGACTATTTTTTCCGTCTCAAAATGTCTTTTGTAAAATATAGATAAGAATCATGGTCTCTTGTTTCTGATTTCCCAGGATGATGTTTTCAGAAGTCAACATATTAGTTTTTCTTGCATTTGCCCTGACCCTTGTTAACATCATGCTGACATTTTATGAGAATGCTAAATGACATATGTTACATGGTTTTTAAATTTCATTCAGTTGTACTACTTTTCAGACAGAAGATTTTGTATTACAACTTTTAAGGCCAGACACTATATTTGGAAGACCCATAAATAATGGGAAAGGCAAGCAATATAATTTTAAGTGGTTAGAAAGAATATTAAGAATTGGATTTCTAAATTCCAATGACATTTCTGTTTTCCTTTCGATGTTTGTTTTTAAAATTTGTCTCACTTATAAAAGAGGAACATTAATTTTCTCAATTAAAATATAAAAGAAAAATTAACGATATTATTACACATGCTGATATCTACAAAAAGTTGTATTACAGTGATATGAAAGAGCAATAACAAAACAAAGAAATAATAGTATATGACTCAATTCCTTTCCACAAAGATTCACATTTATATTAATAAGTACTCTAAAATTAAATTTATACTAAGAAAATTAGTGGCTTATTACATTTTATGGATAAGGAAATAACTATAAAATAGTTTATAATTGATGATTGTGGATAAGTGCTCAAAAACCTTAGACGATTTTGTACCTAAGAGTTAAGAAAGCTGAGAAAGACTAAGGAATATCTTTTTCTGAAAGTGATCTTTTAATCCTATTTTACAATTGTAATTTTTAATTTTCTTCAGCACATTAAAGTAATACTGGAAACATAAGCTAAGGAAAGATTTGCTAAGTATTACCTGGAGATTAATTTTCTGTATTTTCTAGTTTCCTTAATCTATAGGTTTGACTCTATTTTCTCATGAACTTTTTGATTGTCACTTACTGTGTTTTTGCATATACTTCTTCCTTTAACCTTGATCCACTAGCTCATTTCCGTAACTAAGAATTTCTGTAAGAGTGAGAAAGTTCTGAACTACCAGACTTACATGTTTTCTCACTACAGATTAGAAAAAGAGCATAACAGAAAATAAAAGACATATGCTCAGTACGTACTGTTCAGATAAAATATCATTTTTCTTTAAATGCTAGTTTTAGTTACAACACTTTTTAAAAACCTTATTTTCAATATTTTATAATCATATGATATTTGTTGAGCAACACTCTTTATAGAAGTATAGATATTCCTTTAAATGACTGTTATCGTTTTAAACACATTTTGTTTTTCTTTAACAGAGATGTACTCCAGTGCTATCATGATCCCTGGGAAATATCATTCAAGGTAACAATAATCACTTTCATCAAATTTCCTGGGAAAAAATAAATTATATATGAAAACATGCCTCCATTTTTATACAAGCATTTTCATTTTATTGCAGGTAGGGTGGCAACTTGTTTCTACATCCTTTCTTTATCTTCAGATATATTAAATGCATGTTCACATCCATGAAATACTTCAACCCTGCCAAAATGACTTATCAACTGGAAGTTCACCTCTAATCTGATTACATACTAGTTTGTTTTTGATGGATCGATCATACTAGAATCATTGAATTCTACTTCTGGATCTTAAGAGTCAACTAAGGAAGGAAATTTCCTAAGGTATGGTCCTCCCCATGAGAGTGAGACAGTTCCATGTTCTCCAAAGGCTTGAATATTTCCAGCTCAGTTTTCTTCCTTCTTTCTGTTTCACTGAGGATTGCTACCTAAAACTGTCCCCCTCAGCCCTCATCCTTTTTTATAGGGGAGAAAAAAGTGGCCTCTAACCTCGTAAGTGGGATAGTAAATCTGAATGTCTGGGCATCTTCCCCAGGAGAGAACAATCAGGCAGATCCAGGAGCAGGTCTTTGGAATGAAAAACGATACTCAAAAGATAGCTACATTCCAAAGTGTCCTATATACAAAATTTGTGCATGCCTCTGTGTGTGTGTGTGTGTGTGCGCGCGCACATGTGTGTGCCTCAGAGAGACAAAGAACTAGAAATGAGAATGAGTGCGTAAGAGACCATGGATTTGTTTCTTCACATCATGTTAGCATGACCTAAATTCTGGCACTCTACCTGGTTCTTGCTATTAGTTGCCACATTTAATTCTTGTAATATTTTGTTAAGGAAGTAGTATTGTGGTCACTTTTCTAATGTGATGGTGATCCAGGCTTACATAGGCTGTGTAACCTGACATGGTCACACAGAGCCAGCATTTAAACTCACATGTGTCTGATTTCAAATTCAAATATACTTCGTTGTCCCATTTTGCCTCAGGAGTGAGAAATGTACCATTGATACACAAATTGAAAAGGATAATGTGAAATAAGTCTGATTTTTTTAAGTCACTGGATCCCCATCTATAGCTAAGATGTTTGTAGGGTACACTAAGCTCACTGCTATTAAACAAACTGGTGACCCACTAGGGTAATTCAGTTTCCCCTTCATAATCTTGCTATTGTGGGGTTCGCTTGACTTCCACTAGAATAAGCTTTAAACTCTGAACCTCAGTGTTCTCATCAGTAGACATGAAGGTTCATTTTGAGTTTTATGAAATAAATTTGTAAGAACAAACTAAGCACTATGACTGGGACATAGCAGATGCTTAGTAAATGCTGGCTTCTTTTCCTTTTTTCAGAGATACCTTAGTGCTGTTGTTTGTCATTTGAAATTTTTATTAAAGTTATTTCTGTAAAGCTTCTCTCTCCATTATCCCATCTTCCTTATCTTATCCCATTTTTGTTTGTGGTTTCCAGTGTCCAGCATAGTACTCACCTGAGATAAACCGTTCAGTAAAACACTGACGAATTAACAGTCGTAACCCTATATTTATTCAGGAGCTTTCTTGGTCTTTTTACTGAGTACACTTTCTTTCCTTTTGGGGATAATTTATGTGTCATGACGCCAACTAATTCTAGGTTTCTGATTTTGTGGTCGTTGTTTCAGTTATATAGAACTTTATACGTGACCGCATACATTTATGGCACCTCTATAGTTTGAGCTGACCTCACCTTTCCTAATACGTGCCCTT